TCATAGCTTGCTGCCAAAGAGGATTAGTACAAACCTCACGATAGGAGGTAGGTTCATAAGTAGAGTGAGGTTCAAGCTTGGTGTGTTCATGGGATTGAAGTAGAACAAAGCAGGCAGAGCCAAAAACCCGGAGATTGGCGTAAGGAGGGGGAGTGCCATGCAGACGTTCAAAGGGAGTTTGATTATGGATGACAGGGGTAGGAGTACAGTTGATAGTGTAGACAGCAGTGAGGGCAGCTTCTCCCCAAAAGTTTTCAGGGCAGGAAGAAGAGAGAAGGAGAGCGCGAGTAGTGTCAAGAATATGCCTATGTTTCCGTTCAGCGCGGCCATTTTGCTGGGACGTGCCAGCACAAGAGCGATGAGGCAGTGTACCATGATGCTGAAGAAAGGAAAGGAAATCTGAATCCCGATATTCCATAGCATTGTCAGAGCGAAAAATTTTGATGGCTCTGGAGAATTGGGTGTGGACCATTTGTGCAAATTGATAATAAATGTGTTTAAGTTCAGACCTATTTTTCATGAGAAAAAGCCAAGTAAACCAGGAAAAATCATCAATAAACACAACAAAATAGCGAGATCCCCCCATAGTAGTAGTAGGGGAGGGCCCCCAAATATCCGAATGTATAAGATCAAAAGGTGCAAGGGAAACAGAAGTACTTTTATTAAATGATAAAGCAGGTTGTTTGGCAAGTTGACAGGGGATACAATCAAAATTATCAGGAATTACATGACCCAACTGTCCACTAGAAACCAAAGACCTTAAACGAGTAACAGAAATATGCCCTAAGCGACAATGCCAAAGATGAAAGGGAGATAATAAGGAAGTAGATGTAGGAGCAGCAAACTGAGGAGAGGCAGGAACATGAAGGTGAATGAGTTCATAGAGACGTCCACGCTTACGGCCGATCCCAATAGTCTGCCCCGTCTGAGGGTCCTGTACCAAACAATCAGTAGCAGAAAAGGTGACAGTTAGACCAAGTTCACATAATTGACCAATGGAAAGAAGATTTAAGGTAAGAGCAGGAATATGATAAACGTGAGGTAGAGATAAAGAAGAGGTGGAAACAGTACCAACATGACGAACAGACATGAGGGAACCATCAGCAGTATGTATTGAGGGAATATGAGGAGATGAAGATAAGGAAGAAAAGATAGTAGAACTGGAGGTCATATGATTACAACAGGCAGAGGAAACCAAGCACGAGGCGCTTGCTTGAGGCCATAAAGAGCACGCTGTAGTTTGCAAACCTGATGAGGTTGAAAAGTGGACCCAGGTGGAGGTTGCATGTAGACCTCTTCAAGAAGATGACCATTGAGGAAATAAATTGAATAGAGTATTAATATCTGATCAAACTAATTTTTTACATTGATGACATACACGAAAATTTAACAAAATAAACTATTCAAATCATTAGAACAGAATATGTGATGAACTCAACGGACCCAAGCAATATCCTTTCGTCTAAATTATAAACCGGAGAGGATCCAATTCCTTTGTTTAAATAATAAATCAACTACCCTGTCTAAAAAAAAAAAAATCATAAATCAACTAGATAGTCTTACAAAATTATTAGACAATTCTGAAAGAGAATCTTAATCCATTCTTTGTCAATGTTTGTCCAGGGAAATTCAGTCTTAATCCACATTATATCCACTCTTGTTGATATATAACATGACAGTTGCTCAATTATAACTAAAGGAAGTCATTAATGGACTGAGTGGATTCTTGGCGCATGCGGTGAAGTTGGTTCTGAAGTTGATATTGATGGGCAAGACCAGTAGTCTGGTATCGTTCTTTCAAAAAATCCCAGATGTCTTTCTCAGGAGTAGTTACAGAGTCAAGCTGAAAGCGGCCAAATTGAAGACTGATAGAGGTAACAGAGGTATTACGAAACCAGGTAATGATTTGGTAATTCTTACTGTCCCATTCCTCAAGTCGGTCTTCATATGTAGCAGTATGAACAGGAGTTTCAGTAGTGGCACTGTCTTTTACTGGTTTAGCCACATCCCCGGTGACAATTCGCCAGAGCTTCTTGCCTTTGAGGAAAGAGGACATAGCTTGGGCCCACAGAACATAGTTTGAACCATTTAAAATGACGGAAATGGGATGGGAGGCATCATGACGATCCATATTACTAGTTGAGTAGGGTTAAAGTGATAGAAATAGATCCGTAGGAGCAAAATTAGGTAAAACAGAGTGTACCAGTGAGTCCGGAAGGTCGAAAATAGCAAGGAAAGGTATGCTGGACAGAGATGATGTCAGCAATGATGTCAGCGGCGCACGTTAGCAGAGTGCAGGGAGGAGCACGTTAGCAGGAAGGCGACGGCGCACGGTAGCAGATAGGCGCAGGCGCGGCGCACGGTAGCGGGTTTGGCGCACGCGGGTGCACACTAGCGAAGTGGCGCACGAGAGGCGTACGGTAGCAGGTGCGGCGTATGGGAGCCGCGGACGTGTGGGCGCGTGTTGGCGCGTGGCGGAAGTGAGCAACAGCAGATGGCGCGTGTGGGCGCGTGTGAGAGTGGTGGCAGAAGTGTTGACGCGCCGAGGAGAAAATTTCGAGCAGTTTGATGTAATTTCGAGCAGTTTAATGTAGTGCCACGGTATACGGGACTAAACAAAAAATTGCCAGAAATGTAAACCGGGCTCTGATACCATGTAAGATTAGTTTGAGAGAGTGAGAGAAGCTAGAGAGCGAGAGAGAGACTCTGAAATATTTCTGTATATTGTATATTACAAAGAGAATGAACTCTCTCTTTATAGAGAGAAATATGGCGCATTGGATACCAAACAAACCCACTACCACCGAAAGTATAAAGACTAATGCTTAAAGAAATAAAGCTAAAGCTAAAGGAATAAAGCTAAAGGTAAAGTTAACAATTAACAAGTATACAATTAACAATTATATACAATTATATACTAACACATTGGATGCCTTGCCAAGTATGCAGTACTGATAGCTTCTCTATCATTTTCAGAGACCTGCATTGTTTATCAAAACAAAAAAATATATGTACTTCAAACATTTCTACACAAGACTACAAACTGGCTTTTTTTTTTTTCATTAAATTTCTACATGGACTAGTTTCTACAGTAGCAATTCAATCAATTTGAAACTTTATCATGCCTCATAACAGCTGCGAACATGCTGGGCAGAAGAGTAAGCAGAAAGCGCTGATCCAGTCACAGTCAACGAATGGTTCACGAGCCCCACGCTTTTCTTTGTTGCCAACCACATAGTCTAAAAGAATCCAATCCAACTTGAGATGCACAAGGATTTAAGAAACAAAATGGTAACATCAGGAGCAAATTCATCATGAAAATTCACAGGGTTCGGCTTCTATAAACTTCAATACGAGCCTAGTAATTTTATGAGAGAATACATGGGTTGGTTGAGAAGGTCCAAAAAAGAAATTGGCTCCAGCTTCGGGTGCACAAAAAATAATATTAAATCTTTAACTGGTACAAAATGTACAGTCAAATCTCAAGAACAATAGACATTCATCCCCAAGAACTCTACCAAGCTGAAGTCTGTTGGCTGATCTATCTAGATAGAGCCAAGTGTGAGCCCAAACTGATAATGCCTCAATGTAAATTGCCGTCACACAAGCAAAGAAAATAGCCAATAAGCCCCCTGCCGCAGCTAAAGACACGAGAATAGAAATTATAATGGCATTGACGATTGCTGCCAGAAAGAAAAGCATAAAGACTACCAGTCCTGTTAAGGCCAGAAGCCCAATAATAGTTCCAACCTGAAGCAATTTTAGAAAGTAATTCATAAGAAATATAGAAACAACAATTTATAAAAAAATAAAATAAAAAAAGTTCATTTAAATTAGGCAAGAACCGTATGAAGATTAAAATCCAACAAAACCAGGAGTCTTTTAATTTACCCCGAGTAAAACTCTAAAACAAAAAACAAAATATTAACGAAGAAGCAGATGTATAGCTAGGCCAAATACCAGTATCTTGCATCAACGAACGCCATACTGCAAAAAGCAATCAAATACTACGGAAGACAAAATAATGATTACAACAATTTTGAACTACAAGTCAGAGGTACTATTGTCATTTTTTAAAACATTCAATGGAATCCTCTAATAGAGTCGTTTACATTAAGACAAAATAATAATTATGATGGGATTTGTTTTGACTCTTATGATCCCATATCAATTAACAACAGGCTTGGCCATGTGAAGTGGGATAGTTTTTAATAGCAATTCATTTCTTTTTTTTATTCCATTTATCTGTCTCTCCCCCACCAATTAGTTAACCAATTTCGTACTTCTCTCTATTAACAAATTACAGCAAAATAAGAAGTTTTAGTTCAAATTATAAGATTAAAAAAACCATTCATAGAATTTTAGCAAAATGAGGGATATGACAGGATCGTTTCAAATCAAATATCGAAACCATTCATAGAATTTCACAGGATTGATTTCACCTTAAGAGAGAGAGAGAGAGAGAGAGAGCTCACTGATATGAATCACTGAGATGAACTTCGATTTCGATTTCGAGAGAGAACTTTAAAATCGCTCTGATGAATCACCGACTTATTGACGGTAAACCTATTCAAATAAACAGTCAACGCAACTTATTGACAGTAAACCTGTTCAAATAATCCAAGATAAGATCTAACCACGTAGTGAATAAATAGCTTCTCAACCATGCAGAGTTCTCCATCCGGAAGCTGTTTGACAGAACATACCACAATAAATTACCATTAAACTAAACATGAACTTGAATTGATTTCTTCAATTAAAATGGGCTAAAAATATATTTGAAACTCACTGGAGTGAGCTTGTTAAAAAGTGACGCAATTAAAACATCGTACACAGTCATCATCACAAGAGATAGTACAAGCAGAAACCCCCAAAGATAGATGGCCAAGGACTTCCTCTCTGCAACCCAAACAAATGAACATTTTTTATCACCAACCAGCAAAGTAAAACTGAAATGTCTTAATACAGTAAAAAAAACAGTACCTATAATATTACAATAATTGCTGCGACAATAAGCGGTCCAATTATAGTTGCTAGGATGATTCCTTTAATCATGTCCCTAATGAATAACCATATTGTTTGCTGTTACTTCAGCAAAACAAGAGCAAGAATGTAACAAGAAAATTTTTAAGGTAGGAAATAACAATATATGAACATGATAATCAGTAATGAGAGAGTACAAACTTTGATGAAACCATGGCGGGCCTCAATGACAAATGTTGAATATAGAGAAAATGGCAAGTCAGTAATCTGCAAAAGATTCCAAAAATAATGAATATCAACTAGTTTGAATAGAACAGGAATATAGTTACTTCAATGCATCCACTTATGAGGATGCACATTAATTTAAAAAAAAAAATCATGCCAAATATGATGTATCCATTCCATCAGGTGCAGCCAAACCAGGAAAATTAGCTAGCCTTGACCTATAATAAGTTTAAGCAGTTTGTTGGCAAGACATTGACCCAAATATAAGCAATCAACCAATTCAATAAAAACTCAGGAGGCTGGTCATAAAGAACTGCAGCACTACAAATTTAAAACATGGAAGAAAACAAAAAATGTACCATTAAACGGCTTAACAATAAATTTGAACAAGCAGAATGGAGGCTATTGCAAACTTTCAGAAGACCCATCTTACTTAATTCCCCAGTTTTGTGCCAATTCATGTTGCATTGCCCTTGTCGCGCATAAGGAACCATTTGCCATCTTCCCAAAATGCTTCTCAAACCTAGACACGCACCAAAAACTCACACTTCAGATATGAAGACAAAGAAAGGCCTTCAAATCCAAAGGAAAGTTTACAAGTCAATTCAAGTGTACCAATGGTATATTGCCACAAAAACACTACTTCTTCCGAGAGACAATGCTAGCAAAGTATATCCAAAATTGTGCCAATCAACAATAAATGCAAAACGCCTCAACCAGCTTGCCCACTTTACAGCCACTAAAGTCGTGACAGAAGGTGGATTCTACAGAAGCCGAAGCAAGGTAGTTTAGACCAAAATATCAATCCAAGCATGCAAGGCACGACACTCCTATTCAAAACTGACTAGAATCATGGCCAAGCAAACATAGCCATGGATGATTACAGGTTAGGCCCATTTTGGGCCACCAATATTTTTATAGGTTGAAGCTACTACTACTTTGTTCAGTATATGACCCTTAGTAAAAGAAGAAAGACAGAAATTGGACACTAACAATATTCTTTCCCAAAACTTCAAAGCATTCAATAAAAAGAACCAATAAGATAATAATAATGCACAAAAGATAACATATAATAATTCCTCTAATGAAATTGTTACCAAATATTCTACCTAAATATTTCAATGAACTTTTTCAATGCTAACACTTTAGCAGTTATATAAGAAAAGTTCTAAAGATTTACAGTAGTAAAAAGGTCATCAAAACACTGCCAAAACAATATAACTTAAAAAGTGTCAAACAATGTATTTTGACAATAATTCAGCCACATACATCTTTCAGAGCTCACCTGCACTATAAAAACATCAGGAGCAGGTATTTTGACACAAAGAAACCAAAGAAGCATAAGAAACTGAATCAATGGCTTGAGCAAAAGCATCAAGGGACGAAGTATCTTTGGTAAATTCTGAGGGATTGTTGGCCACTGTGTCTGCAGAACCAGATTTCAAAAAAAAAAAAAAAAAAATACGTGTAATGAGTTTCAGAGTTTTGAAAAAACACTCAATCAACAGGACATGCTTAAAACCAGTATCATTTTATGAATATGAATATATTGGTTCCCTAACACAACTGAGTAGGGGTCAGAGCCTATCATCCTATACTGGGGAACATTTTTTTCCAAAAGAGAAGTCAAGACAATCATGACCACATGGCCACTGAGTTTTACTAATGAGAATCTGTAAATACATTAATTTGTAAGCTTGGCAGCATTCTATCATTCATTATTCATAATCTTTTTATCTATTACTCATTGGAACAATTGATTTCCATATTTATTTGAATGTAGACAGTAAGTTCTGTTTACAGTCGCATCTTTCACTCTTATTTCTTACTTAAAGCCCCTAATCTTGTAACTGGAATAAGTACAAAAGATTCAGAAACTTAACTCCTAAAAATCAGCTAGAGCCATTAAACTTTGCAACCCTGACAACAATGCCATTAAGAAAATTATAATATGTGCATACATCAGAATTGGGACCAAAAATCAGATCAGCATAGGAAAAAAAAGGCTAATATTGTTTATGCTAATTTAGGGTTTAAAACAGGGTAATAAAAAAACAGAGAGTGAAAAATAAAGAACACTCGTTGAAAAATCAGTTCTGGTGATCTGGGGAAAAATAAATGAGATGTGTAAAACACTGATTGATCAATCTAAACTGATCAATAAAAAACAGTGATTAAAATTCTTCAAAACATTGATTGAAAACCCTAGGAGAAGAATCGATGGGAAGAAAGAACTTGAGAGAGAGAGAGAGAGAGAGAGAGAGAGAGAGAGATATTGAGCTTGAGATTTTCTGAAGCGATGGTGCTCACCTTGGTAGATGATGGTGCTCACTTTCCTCGCTGGACGAATCTGAGATTGAATCACCGAGCTTTGAAATCGAGAGAGAACTTCGAAATCGCCGAATGAATCTGAGATTGAATCACCGAGATGAAGAAGGTTGAACTTCGAAATCACCTTCAGTTGATCAACAGATCTTCAATCGATCGATCTGATCTAAGAATGATAAAGTAGATAAAACCTAGCATACCTGAATCGAATGATTCCATCAGTAAGTATCATCTTCAATCGAACTTGAATGTGAGAAGATAGAGATAAGACTGATCAACACTTACCATGAAGAAAGACCTGCGAACTCGAACACGAACTCGAGATGGCACATTATGATCTGCGAATCGATGATCTACGAATACTTTAATCGAATAAACGAAGAGGTGAATCGAATACTTAAAGAGAAGGGTTGCAGATTAATCGATTACTAAATGAAGGGGTTTGAATCGAGAGAAACGAAAGGGTTTGAAGCAAGAGAGAGTGAAATCAAGGGTATAGTGAGAGCGAGAGAGAGAATAGGCTATTTAAGTCTACATTATTAAAAAAAAAAAAAGCGAAAAAACATTTGAAGGCGTTTTCGAAAGTTAAAACGGTGTCGTATCAGTCAATAAGAATGCGACGTTTAAAAAAATGCTGTAAAATATTAGAATCAAAGGCGTTTTTTTAAACGCCGTCAAATAAATGCCATTACATCCCACTTTTTTGTAGTGGTGCGAGAAACAGAGCCGCACGTGTGGCCCTAGGCAGCTTGCTGTCTGAAAATGGCTGAAAATTGGGGACTTCTCATTTTCAAAATCAAACCTCAATTTCATGTAATTCAAGGCCCAAAACTCTTTAATACATGATAAATTTCACATCCTTAGCTTCCATTCCAATTTATATCTCCAAAATACTACTCAATTTCTCAATCACAAGAACAAGATTATGAATTAGAACACAAAAACATAAAGTAGCCATGGTTTGGGGTTTAAAACTCATTTACATGGGGGAACCCTCTTTAACCTCTTTAAGAACCATAAAACCCCTACAAGAAATTAAGTTTTAACATTAATTCATGTTATGGACAAGGATTCAACATCTTATTGCTTGAAGAAACAAAACCCTTACATATAATCATAAATAACCCAAGAGCTCATTCTTTAGTCTCTAATCTTCAAGTATTGAGAGGGAGGATCTTACCTTAAGCCTTCACCACCACCTATTCTTGTATAACCATGATGAATTCAAGCCAAATCCTTGATTTCTTCATCATCCTCAAGGTTTTTCTTCTTCTCTTGCTTCTCTCTTGCTCTCTCTCCAGATTTTTTTTTCCTTAGATATTTTCTTGGCTCAAAGGTCGAGTTGAACCACTATTATAGCATACCCATCTATATATATATATATATAAGCTTCCACAAATAGGAAGGGCCAAACACGCCCTTACGAATCGCACAAAATTAAATTTCAATTAAACTTTCCAGATGACTCTAAAAATTGTGTTGATCATAAATATGTCCCCTGTTCTGGTTTCTGAAGCTTCTAAGGCCTTCAATTTGCAGTATAAAGTTAACCACCCAAACGTGCATTAACGAATCAGACAAATTTGATTTCCAATTAATTTTCCCAAATAGTTCTAAAAATTCCCATTAACATACCCAATTACTCAATTTTGATTTCTGAACCCATAAAGGTAGGTAATTTCAATTTTAAATCCGTAACTCAACAGATAATGCTTCACTTTCAATAGATATAATTAAATTAAAACACATCATCTCATAGTTAAATAAAGATGATTTCTTATACGCATTTTGGGGTTATTACATTCAGCTTCATTTCGTACTTGTGTAAAATGTCGAATGCCTCTTCCAGATCGGCTAGATGAGTTTGTTCTTCTTTGGACTTGACCACCATATCGTCAATGTATACTTCCATGGTACAGTCGAGTTGCTCTTTAAACATGGCAGTGACTAGTCTTCGGTATGTTGCCCCTGTATTCTTCAACCCAAAAGGCATAACCTTATAGCAGTAGGTTCCTCTTGGGGCGAGGCATGCAGTTTTGTCTTGGTCTTCCGGGTGCATGGCAATTTCATGGTAGCCTCTGTAGGCATCAAGAAAGCTTATACGTTGATGACATGCTGTGGCGTCTACGAGTTAGTCTATCCTGGGGAGGAGAAAACAATCCTTGGGGCAAGCTTTGTTTAAGTGCGTGAAATCCACGCATGTCACACCCCAAACTCGGGTATGACCGGCCGTGGCCCACAGGGCCTTAGCCCAAGGCACACGTAAGCCTAAACACGAATCCATAATCACATTGAACAACTAAACAATAGTCTAATAATAAATAACCAAAACTCAATCTAGACATGCCACAATTATAAACGGCAAAATCAACCGTAATCAAAACCATCCATACTTATGGGATATAAATAGCCCACGTATTAAAATAATCCTAAATGAACCTCAATAAAATAAATATAAATATGCACAAACTTGACATAACAGTGTAAAACAAAATAAATGAATGTCCTAGAGGTCCATGCAATTGAGTCCCCGCTACGCTATGAGTCCACTCAAAGTCCTTCTAACACCTAGAATTTGTAAACAGCTAAGTCTGTTGATAGCTTAGTGAGTAGCAACATGGATAGTATATACAGTTTTGAAACCAGGGATCAATTCCAAAATAAGATATGTATAACAGAAACTAGATTGGCATATACTTTGGTAAAGAGAATCTGTTTCAAAACGAAGGTTCCACAGTTCAACAGTTAAAATACTCATGTCTCTCAAGAACATGATAAATGACATTTTTCACTTAAAACAGATTACAACATGAACACCAATAATTTTCTAGGTACCAAGAAAATAACAAGTAATATGCCACACAGTTCTCAAGGCTATAAGCCCCGTTGGATCCAATACCGAACTAAGAGTCATCCTCAGGGTGGCAACCTGGGCCTTTTCTCAAAGACGATCTGATTGAAGGTCACCTAGCTTAATCTAGGTCTTTTCCTTACAATCGTTGAGCACTAGGGTCATCACGGCCCAACCCGGATCTATTCCCTAGTGGCCAGAGTCACCACACACAGTGGAATAATTTCCCTGGACTAAATACCCAGATGGTCCTAATAATCAATACACATCAGTTTCGCAAAACATGGTAGTTCACCATTATAAACATGAGACCAAAACAAATAGTTTACAGTGTGCCAAGTTCACATATGTTTCAGAAATAATTTGATTCTATTGATAATATAATAATTTATCAAAACAGTTTAGTCATGAAACAACAATTTAATTTTCCAACAGTTCAGGGTAGTGGAACATTTATAAAAATATGTAGCATGAAACTACTCACTTGGAAACGAAATAATGTAATCCTCGAATAGAGTATAAAAGTCCAACTAGAGCCCTGAACCAAGTATGAAGACTACACGTCACTACTAATTTAAAAATACTAAAGAGAATAATAAACTAAGTAACCTGAAATTAAAGCGCACTAACACGGTTCAACCCAACTCACCGTTACTCTTAAATATTACCTAAGTTCATGTTCTTCAAGGTCTAAAATCACCCAAGACATGGGTTCAAATCGAAACTTAATTAAAAGTAACTTTGGGATAAAATAGAATTTTTGATAGGTTTTCCCGAACTATTCACTAACTCTGAAAATTAAAAACTCACTCTACACCATTCGAAAAATTCCAAAACCCTCTAGATATCAACTAATCTATCCTAAGTTTCAAACCCAAATGCTTTCACTTGATTTGCTTATCAAAATAATTATCTACAATTAATTATATCTAAACAGGTTATTTTCTGCAGCACTTTAAAGAAATTAATGGTTCTCTTAGTATACATGAGCAATCAATGCAAGGACAAAAACGTATGAAACTAGACTCGTAACCGGTTCTAATGACGCTGATTTGATAATTTTTGGAATTATACCCAAAGAGAACAACACTCCCGAACTTACTATTTAAAACTAGTTTTCTTGACCGATTTGAACACATCAGTTTATATGGATTTTGACTCCCAAAAATTATGAAAAAAAAAAATCAGATACGCAATTCAATATGTAATTAATCTATTGTAAAAATTTTAGTTCAAAATTCATTCGTTTGATATGGTTTCTTGATTTTTAAAGTTTGTGATTCTGTATATAATTTTTGGACTAAAAATTACACCATTCATTATACATGAATTTAACGCCTCAGATTTCGTAACAGTATATATATACACAAATTACATAAACCTACAACCTCTTCATGAATGAATAAAATAATTATAGAATAAGGATCAAGAATAAAGAAAGAAGTGAATAAAACCTAGGAGGTCTATACTTTGATGATCACACACAACACAACACACCCAATTCCATCCATAATTAGTTGCGACCTTTTGTTTCTCTTCTCTCTCATGGCTACTATTGCTGCTAGGGAAATTGTTAGAAGAGCTAGGGTTTTGTTTTGTTTTTATTTTATACTAGTGGTTGGGTACACCTAAAGCATGCGTAGGTCAAATAAATAGATAAATATACAAAATATATGTATAAGTTATATGCAACTCAAATGGTAAGAGCCTTATTTATTAATTTTGTGGTCTAGAGTTCAAGTCACACCCTCTTCTCTATTTTTTTTTTAAATAATAAATCTTGCGTCTAAATTAAATACTTTCACCATAAATTTATTTTAAGTTTAAAATTAATTAAAAGACCGTCCAATAATATATAATTTACACTTAAAGATTGACAATAAAATATTTGAGATTTGTAAAATTATTATTATCTAATTATTTATTTTATTTGTATATTCGGGTTCTCACAACGCAGACACGCCAAGTCCCTTTTTTCTTCTTTACAACCATAGTATTGGACAACCATGTAGGATAAGTCACTTCCCGGATTGCCCTGGCATCAAGCAACAGATCAATTTCTTCAACAACGGTAGCAGTGTGTTCTGCGGCTGACCGCTGACTCTTTTGAATAATCGGCTTACATTTGGGGTCAACATTTAAACGGTGCTGAGAAACAGATGGATCTATCCCCCAACATCTCATACGGTGACCATGCAAATACATCGAGGTTGCCGAGTAAGAAGGTAATTAGCTGCTGCCTATCCCCTTTGTTTAGTGAGGCACCGACCATGAAGAACCTGTCAGGATTCCCGTCAATTTCAACTCGATCCAAGGCTTCCGTGGCCTTTTCACTTGGGAGCCGTCCAACATCGTCGAGGCTCTCTCGATCCGGCACCTCAATAGAGTTCATTTCCAGCTCTTTTGGTGTCTTCATGGAAAGAAGATAACATGCTCGTGTCGATTTCTGGGAAGCACAGAGTTGTTCAATGCCGCATTCAGTCGGGAAGCGGAGCAATTGATGATAGGTGCTTTGCACGACCTACGTGGTATGTAGCCAAGTTCGTCCCATGGTGAGATTATATGGCGAAGGCAGCTTGACAACCAAGAATTCCACATCCACTGTCCAGGAGCCCGCTTGAACTGGTAGTGTGATTTTGCCCAACGGATATTCTAGATTAGCGTTGAAGCCGAATA